AAATGATCAGAATTCCATGGAGAATTGAACAAAAATACAAAAAAGTGGGGTTTCCATTTAAAAAAGTTGGCCTTGACTTCATAACTTTTTTTTGGGCCACCCTGTATAAATGAAAATTGCTTCAAAAAATGCGGAACTAAAAATATAATTCGACGGGTCCGAGCGATTTTTGAAATAACGAACATATGATTTTTTTAAATAAATATATTCCATAATTTTGCCGCTCACTGTATATAGGGTGTAACGTAAAGGTTGGGAATAAATTAAACGGTGGATTTTTTATTTCAAAAAATAAATATTTGTCATATAAAGTTATGCTCTACGGATTTTATTTTCCAAGCTACAGGGCGCTAAAAAATTTAGTTTTTTAATATAATTTTCAATGCAAAAGTCTTTTTTCAATGCCTATTTGACCACGTTCGGTGACTGAATCAAAGCATGCTTCATAATGTTTTTGTTATTTTTATTTTCCTATGTTAGCAGTGGGGAAAAATGATATTTACAAGTTTTATTTACGGAAAAATTACAAGAGCTAGAAAAAAAACGCAAGAGAGAAATTTTGTTTAAAATAAAATATGGAACATAAAAAAATATTAAAAAAATGTTTTTACCAGTGGCGTACTACAATTTTCTTCGAAAACCCTTACGGTACAATCCGTAGACACGCCACTGAGTAACTTACAAAGTTACCATTTTTCTTGTTACTAGAGGATTATCAAATTAAGCTAAGGCTAAAGTTTCATTCCATTATCTTATAATGTTCGAATGTTGTTGGAGAAAAACTAAATTTTTTGAAAGTTTTTAGCGCCCTGTAGCTTGGAAAAGAAAACCCGTAGAGCATAACTTCATATGAGAAAAATTTATTTTTTAAACAAAAAAACCTACCCTTTAATTTATTCCCAACCTTTACGTTACACCCAGTATATTAAAAACTTCAACCGGACTGCAGCCAACCCTGTACCACATTATTGCCGCCCTAACATTTCCGATCAATACTAATAACATAGTATTCATAGTTTAGTACGTTATAAGATTGATATGAAGAGAAATTTTTAACATCAAGTGAAAACGTATATAAGAGGTTATTAGTGAAATTGTTTGACCTATAATTTGCATTAATTGATATCGAAGAATATTGTTTCACCTCCGTTGATAAGATTTTTTAGAATTTTTTTTTGAATTTGTTTGAATTAACACCTTTGTAGTATGAAAGGGTAAAAATNCTATTTACTGCCATAAAAAGATGACCAAGCGAAGCATCAAACTCACTCACACATACACAAACGACAATGAAATCTACGGCCAACGTCCCTCAGCAAAAAACCTGGATTATTCACCGACCAGGCAGACAGGGCAGGGATTAGGCTGGCGCTAGATACATTTCGAATAAAGTGATCGATGCGAAGCTTCAGATCAGAGGCAGACATGTACATGTTATTGTACAATGACGCAGACAGTGGGATTACTAAAATGTAAAGTAGTTAATGTTTCGCCACCATTAGTAAAAATAGCATCTACAGGGTGTAACGTAAAGGTTGGGAATAAATTAAACGGTGGATTTTTTATTTCAAAAAATAAATATTTGTCATATAAAGTTATGCTCTACGGATTTTATTTTCCAAGCTACAGGGCGCTAAAAAATTTAGTTTTTTAATATAATTTTCAATGCAAAAGTCTTTTTTCAATGCCTATTTGACCACGTTCGGTGACTGAATCAAAGCATGCTTCATAATGTTTTTGTTATTTTTATTTTCCTATGTTAGCAGTGGGGAAAAATGATATTTACAAGTTTTATTTACGGAAAAATTACAAGAGCTAGAAAAANATAGAAAATCTTTCGTAAAAAATATTTTTTTTTAATAAAAAGTATCCTATGTTACTTCTAATACCTCCAAGAATATGTGTACAAAGTTTCACGATGATCGGTTAAGTAGTTTTCGCGTGAAAGCGTAACAAACAAACTTACATTCACATTTATATTAGTAGGAATTATTATTATTAGTAGGCTTCGCTCGCGGGTAAATAAATATAGAAAATATTTCGTAAAAAATGTTTTTTTTTAATAAAAAGTATCCTATGTTACTTCTAATACCTCCAAGAATATGTGTACAAAGTTTCATGATGATCGGCTAAGTAGTTTTCGCGTGAAAGCGTAACAAACAAACTTACATTCACATTTATAATATTAGTAGGAATTATTATTATTAGTAGGCTTCGCTCGCGGGTAAATAAATATAGAAAATCTTTCGTAAAAAATATTTTTTTTAATAAAGTATCCTATGTTAGTTCTATACCTCCAAGAATATGTATACAAAGTTTCATGATGATCGGTTAAGTAGTTTTCGCGTTAAAGCGTAACAAACTTACATTCACATTTATAATATTAGTATGGATGTCTCATCACCGTGGGACACCCTGTAGATGACATACCGTTTGGTCTTCAGGCAGATGCTAACGCCGATAATTTTTAAGTCCTGAACAACTTTTCCTGGGATTTTTAAGTAAATTAGAAAGGAGTAATCATCCAGAGGTTGGCAGTTCATGCTCTAAATCAGATCAATTCCCTCGACTAAAACTGTGCCATGTCTGCCATAAACCTGAACACCTGGAAAGCTCAATGTACCAAGAGGTTTACCAGGATAGAAGCCAATCATCATCAACTATTCCCTCAATGCACAATTTATCAAGGGGGAGAGGCCACACTGCAGAAACATGTTGGTTTAAAAGTTTAAAAGCAAAAAAGGTTCACTCGTTAATAAGGTAAGTAAATATCATATTCTGTATCGATTTGTATCTTTGTAATACATTATTTAAGAGTACAGGGTGTTTGGAAAAGTTGGTACAAAATTTAAGGTGAAAGTAGAGCCAAAAATAGTATAAAAAGTTCCTATAAACATAGGTCTTGCGGAACACCGTTACTGAGATATGGGCCTCCAAAGGGGTCTTATCATTTGGATATTTTTTTAAATAACTTTCTTTCTGATTAAGATAATGGAATTGAAACTGTAGGTAATAATCATAACATAAGGATCTTTAAGTATACTAAGTTTTATCTAAATCGGTTATAAATAAGGATAGTTTTCTAATTACCCTTAACAGAAATTTTTCCAATTTTTTTTTCCTTTGACCAAATAATATTATTTTTTAATAAATTAAACTTTTTTGAAGAAAAAATTTCTCTACTTTTTTTGGTATAAGAATGGTATATACTACGCCTTGAAGAGTTGAGGTATTGGTAAAGCTTTCAGTGCCATACAAATTCAACATGAAATTTTTCAGTGAGTAAGGTTTCACGAATATTCTGCGATGTGAATCTAACATTTAATTTGGACAAGTGCTTTTTCTTTAAGACAAAAATAGAATATCTACGATATGAGATATCACAGGACAGGGTTAGAACATGTGAACGTAAATTTAATGCTGCAACTAATTTTCCAATCCTCAAATATATTCACCAACTCAGCCAATTTCTAGGTTTACCATTGTATTTTCGTAAATTTGTTGAAAATTTTTCAAATTAGCTGTCGTGGCCAAACCGTATCAAATGTCTTTACGATATCCAAGAAGACAGTTCCAGTGAACTGTCTCCTGTTGAAGGTAGTGGTGATGTGTTCGGTGAACCATAGGATTTGGAGCTCAGTGGAGTGACTGGATCGGAAAGGAAACTGTTCGTCGGGAATGACTCGCAGTTCTTTGGAATGGGTTTTTACGCGGGTAAGGTTAATTTTTTCCTACCACTTTGTTCATAGCCGGGAGTAGGCTGATGGGTCAGTAGTTGGATGTGAAGGTGTAGTCTTTGTTGGGTTTGAAGATTATTACGTTTGGAGATTATTACGTTTGCTGTTCCAGCATGTAGGGGAATGTCCGAGTCTAAGTGTGGCGCTTGTTATGTTGAGTAGGGCCATGAATGAGGCCCTTGTGTGGTAGTCTTTTTAGTGTAGTGTTGTGTATTTGGTGGGGTCCAGGGATTTTTTAGTTCTTTAGGTGTCATATTGGTTGCCTAAGTTCACCTGGGGTTGCGCACTCGGCCACTGCTTCCAATTCCTTGTCCTCATTGGGCAACTGGGACACTCTACACTGCAGTTCCAGGCTGTTAGCAAAAGTCTCGGTCTTTTCCTGGTTCATGTACACCACCCTGTTGATGTGGATTGGGGGAATTCTGCGTCAGGTGGCCAGTCGTAGGGCCCTCTGTGTTTTCCAGAGGTCCTGCGGATCCAGTGACTTTAATTTTCTTGAGCCAGCTCACCCAGGGCCGCCTTCACCCGTCTTTTTAGTACGTTTAATTTGTGTTTATGTTGGGGAAGGCGGGTGTGGGTGGCAAGCAATTTTAGGTGTAGTCTACCTCATACAAGTTGTCTGGTGTCTTACCTCTGAGGTTTGTCAGTCAGGGGACTATTGTCTCTGCGGTGGTTTGCGTCAGTGCGTTTTTAATGCATGTCTTTAGGGTAAGGACTGCTGCCTCCAGGTCATGGGTGATTTCAATGACTGAGAGCACGATTCAGCTACTCCAAAAACATATAGGTACCATGGTCTTGTCTTTCGGATCTCCCATTTTTTTTTGTGGGGTTGTGTAACCCTTGATGATCCAATTGGCTCAAGGACTGTCATTCATTTTTTAATTCTTTTTTACAGGTGACAAAGTACTCGAATAGGTGAAAAATTGTCAATACCTACTGTTCACGAAACAAGTACAAAAGAAACAATACAGTATAATTATCTTAGCTTTGCTGAAAACTGAATCTAATGTAGTAAATTTACAATTTCAAAATAATGTATGAAAAATTTTTTTTGTTGCTTTAAAACTTAACTACACCCTACTTCTTTTTATGTCTGTAACCACACTTGATTTCAAATAACGTACAAATTACCTTATGAACTACCTCTAGGTATGTTCCTCCCTTACACCTCCATGCTCCTCCCTGAAATGTCTTCTAACGTGACCCTGGTACTTCGACTTATACATACAGGACTCGCATCTATGCCACTTCTTCTCCCTATTCTTATGTCACCAGATGCAGCCTCAAGCTGGCCTTTATTTTGGTTTCGTGCGGACACAAATGGCACTTGAACATGGTCAATTCCGAGGCATTCCTGTGCTTCAGTGTGTGAATAGTGAGGTTATCTTTCCAAATGGACTCGTAGTCGCATTCGTCACATCTAAACTTCGGCAGGTTTGACTTCATGTGCGTCAGAACGTGTTTCCTCAGCTGTTCTTTCCGTTTAAACCCACGTCTGCAAGTCAGACACTTGAAGGTTACCATTTCAGAGGGGTCCGTATGGACTAGTGCATGTTTTATGGTGCCATACTTGTGTTTGGTTTGAAACGGACAGTTGTCGCACTTGTAGATTTTAGCCTCTTCAGCGTCCTGATGAGTGATCATGTGCCTGGTCAGGCCGGTTTTATATTTAGTAGCGAAGCTGCATTTTGGGCATCGGAAGAGATCAACTTCGTACTGCTCTTGTGACTTAAGATGTGACGTGCTATGGAGTGCCTGTATCTAGATGTGTATGTGCACAGTTTGCACACCAACACTTTATTTCCCTGGACGATTTGGTATTCCACAAAACTGTAAAATAAAATTCATGGTTGAGATAATTTAAATCCGTAACCAACTGATTCTTATACAGGGTGTAATAGTTGAGTTATAATTCGATTTTTGAACTGAGCAACATAAACAGGGCCATACAGGATTAGTACTGCTTAGCATTGTCAGTTGTTAGCTTTTTAAATCAAATGTTAGGAAGCGAAATTACTATGAAAAGTAATTTAGTAATAACAGATTGCTCTATATGCCTTTGCAATTATTTTACAGTATATTATTTCTTTTTCTTCCAAGTGCATATTTATATTTATTAGGTGAAAATCTAACAAATAAATAGTATGATGATTTTTATCTACAATTAAACAATTCGTTCTACACTTCTATACAGGCGGTAAGATACACACATATAGTTTTCGTGTTGTCCCTGGCATGAGTTTTATCAAACTTTCAGTGCACAATCATAACTGCTGTTATAAAGAGACAAGACAACATAGATCTAAATTATTTTACATATATACAAAATAGCTGTTAGATGCTAACTATTCAATAGGGATGTCATTCACTACGTCACTGTTACCGAGTCAACAAGAACCCCTTTCTGAATGTGCGAGCAGTCGAGGTCGGCCGATGGAGAACGGTCCGTGGGGTCAGCGAGCTCAGGAGTTGGTCATGGGAGTCACCAGAGTCCCGACATAGCAAATAAATAAGAGACAACTTTGTCGTTTGAGAGAATAAACCGATTGTTGGAATTATGTGTTTTAATTGGGGGTGAAAACCCCCAGGCTTTTAACGTATCTAATCGTGGTATTTGGTAAAAAAAAACTAAATATAACTAGGTAAAAAATGTACCAATTTGAACATTTAATAAAATAATAGCATTCTTTCATTCATTGATATTTTGTCTTATTCTTTAAGTAATAATTTTATTGTCATATCCAAAGTAAAATTTAAAAAGTGTCATATGTTGTCGTGAGCAGAATTGAAAAAGCTTTAAAATGAGGTCTCATGCAATACATGGTGCCATTTAAAATTTAAGGGTATTTTACTCCCCTGCCTAAGGAGTAGCTTCCAAGACACCAAAACTTACCCCATCATGTGCCCCTTGAAAAGAAAATTCACGTGTTTTTTGTTTTTCTTTTTTAGTTCCAATATTTTCCAGGTGGGAAGTTTTAATTAGAACACCCTGTATACAGCCTGTTACAAATTTGCTTCTCATTACAGTGATCTCGGAAACAGTAAGATATACAAAGTAGCTTAAATTGGGGCAAAGTTGTGTAATCAGGGGACCAACATTATGTTTCTAAAAAATCAAGGCTAACATGATTAGTCTTNTCGGGGACCACACGTGTGCGGCAAATGTTAGGCGATCCAGGTCTTTGGTAGGCTGCTACAGTCACGTCCCCGAGCATGCCTTAGGTCACCCATCCAAATTCCGGCCCACGTCCGTGATGTTTGACTCGGCAGATCGAAATCCGCCGGCCAATACACCCGGCTAGGCGGTCCCCAACATAAAGTCTAATCAGTTTATTTATTAAAAGATAACTATATAAAAAATTGCATAATTCTATAATACTATGAAGAAATAATCGTTTCTTTGTAAAAGTCCAAAAAACCTTTATATTTAGAAATTAATTTCTCACGAATTATTTACCTATCCCAATTAATTTTTGCTTTACTGTCTTAATTTATACTTTGCCAAATGTGATGAAATTTTACTACTTTCTTCCATTGCTTTAAAAAGATATATTGGAATAAAAAACGGGCTGTTTTCTACCATTTTTCGGTATAATTTAGGCAACCAGAAATGCATCAGTTTCCATCCTTAATACGTTGTGATAGTAATAGCAGACATACAGGAGGTGTTTTAATATATAATCAAAGCTGGCATTGATTGCAAACCTAGAGAAGAGTTGATGCTGCAAGGAAATTATTGGTTTCAATTTATTGAGATCAATATATCAGGACAGCAGTGGATTATTGGTGTAGTATATCATTCGCCTAGTTCAAGTGATGCCATTTTTGTGGAGAAGATGAAGTGTTAGACAGATATTTTTGTAATATGAAATGTTTATTAATGAATGAAGAATATAGATTATAAGAGTGATAATTTTTAAAGTAAAAAACTGAAACAAATGTTTAATATGTATGGGATTGATCAAATTGTAAATGAGCATACTAGAGTAACGAATGATAGCAAAACGTTAATAGATTACGTGTTAACGAACTATAAAAATTCTGTAGCTTGTGTGCATGACTTGCCTAAAATAACAGATCCCTCCATGTTATCTATACAACTTTAGTAATATTGATGAAAAAGATAAATACATTTTTGTAAGAAATTTAAATGAAACAAATATGCTAAATATTAATGTTAATCTGTTATCATGCGACAGGCCGCTGGACTGTGTTGAAGTAAATGATATATTGGATTGTATTTTAGATAAAACATCAAGCATTGTTGATGAAATTGCACCCAAGCATATGATAAAGATAAAAGCAAATCAAATCCCATACTATGACTGTGAATTAAAAAACAAAGCAAATGAAAGTGATATAGCGTATAGAAATTTTAAGAGAAGTAGTGAATTAAATAGAAATGATAAGTGGGAATACTATAAAATTGTAAGAAATCAATATGTAAATATGCTAAAAGTCAAAGAAAAAAATATTATGAAAATAAAATTGACAACAAAAACAACCCTAAAGAGTTGTGGAAAACTTTGAAGTCACTAGTAATGTCAAATATATGTCATGATTTCAGTCAAATAATATTTTGTGAAAATAATGAAAATTATACTATTACATCTGAAAATAAAATAGCACAAAAATTCAATGACTTTTTTGTTAATAGTGTAGCTGATATAGCTAATAGCATAAAGAGTGATCAGTTGTGTTGTGGGGTCGACGCAAAGTTTTCGTCAAGTAAGTAGTGGTATTAGCATCTTTAAAAAATTAACATTTGGCCAATTGCGGAAAATAATATTTTCATTGAACAATAAGATAATTGATGGTGAAATATTGCATGCAAAATTTTTGAAGGATTCATTTGATGTCATTGGCCATCATTTTGCATTTCATTAATACTTCATTGGAGATGGGGACTTTTCCAAGTCGCTTCAAGACTAGTACAATTACACCTATTCCTAAAATTAATAATAATATCGAAGCATGCAATTTTCGTCCAATTAATACATTACCAACACTTGAAAAAGTTCTCGAATTAGCGGTTCATGATCAAATAATGGAATATTTTAATGATAACAATTTGTTTATTGGACAACAATTGGGCTTCAGAAAAAATCATTCTTGCGAAACAGCTCTGCAATACAATAGCTAGATGGAATCAATTAATTGACGAAAATTTATATATTGTAACTGTTTTCTTAGATTTAAAAAGAGCATTTGAAACGATAGATAGAAATCTTCTATTAAAAGTTAAAATATTATGGAATATCAGGTACTGTCTTGGGGTGGTTTGAGGACTACCTGAATAATAGAGCACAAGTAACTAAAATTGGTTCTTTTACTTCAAATAAAATAATTAATAACTTTGGAGTTCCACAAGGGCCATTACTTTTCATAATATATTTGATTGATATCAACTACATTGAGGGAAACTACTCCCTTGGCTTATTTGCTGATGATTCATTAGTGTATGTTGCTGATAAAGATTTAAATCAATGTATTAAATCAATCAATGATGCTTTAGCAGGTATTGAAAAATATTTACGAATGAATAAACTTAAGTAAATGTTAAAAAAACAAAAGTCATGATATTAACCACTTCTTATAAGTATAAACAAATAAGTACTTATTCAATTAATATCAAAATAGACGATAAAATTATTGAAATTGTTACTGAGTTTAAGTACTTAGGATTTATTGTTGATAATAGTCTTTCTTTGAACAATAATTGTGATTACATTATTAAAAAGATATTAAAAAAACTATATTTTTTCTCTAGGGTTGCAAAGTAAGAACCTACAGAGACCCGAAAAGAACTGACTGGGACTCCTATAGAACGGAGTTGCAGGCCAGGACTAGGGAAATCTGTATAAAATTAAGGAACACATATGATCTTCAGAGGGCTGTGGAGGAACTCCAAAACGCCGTCACAAGATCATATGAATACAGCTGTCCTATCAAAGTGAGGTCCGACAAGAACACCGTACCCTGGTGGAGTAAGGAACTCACACAGTTGCGGGGATAGACAAGGAAACTATTTAATAGAGCAAAGCGGACAGGAGAGTGGGAGGTTTATAGAGCAACCCTCACTGAGTATAATAAAGAAATTAGAAAAGCGAAGAGAGACTCATGGAGGAAGTTCTGTGAGGATATTGACAGTGTCCCACAGTGTGCTAAACTCCAGAGACTTCTCTCTAAGAATGGTAATACGAAACTCGGGTCTCTTAAAGCACCGAGTGGAGAATACACTAAAACTGGAAGGGAGACATTGGAGTTACTTCTAAATACTCACTTTCCAGGCTCCAGCAGAGGGTAATGACCGGGTCTCGACAGAACTGGGAGGTTGCCAAGACGGTGGTGAGTCAGTCACGAATAAGATGGGCAATAAGTTCCTTTGACCCATTTAAATCACCAGGAGCCGATGGAATCCTACCCGCACTGTTACAGCAGGGTGCGGACTGTCTAGCTCCGGTTTTAAATCACGTCTTTAGAGCCAGCATTGCACTTGGCTATATACGCGGGCATGGAGATCGACGAACGTGGCGTTTATTCCTAAACCAAGGCGTCCATCGTATAAGGCATATCGCCTGATAAGTTTAACATCTTTCCTCCTGAAAACGTTGGAGAGAATAGTTGATAGGCATATAAGGGAC